TATATGAAAACTTACACTATCTGTCAAATGTAACCATTATTATAAGAAAACTTACACTATCTGTGAAATTCAACCATTATTATATGAAAACTTACACTATCTGTCAAATGTAACCATTATTATAAGAAAACTTACACTATCTGTGAAATATAACCATTATTATATGAAAACTTACACTATCTGTCAAATGTAACCATTATTATAGAAAACTTACACTATCTGTAAATGTAACCATTATTATATGAAAACTTACACTATCTGTCAAATGTAACCATTATTATATGAAAACTTACACTATCTGTGAAATATAACCATTATTATATGAAAACTTAAAATAGTTTCACATTGTTATGTATTTCAAAGTTTACAAAACCTATTTTATTTTTGGATTAAACTCTTTATATATTCGTGGCCTATTTATAGTCAAAATGCTGAATATTCATCAGAACAATGCCATAGTTTGGTCACACAAACTGATAAAGAAATAGTGTTTACAGTAACACTGTCCTGGATTAAAATATATAGAGATGTTACATGTTCTTCCTAGAGCTAGCAGTCAAACTTACTGGGCTCCAACTGTAGACAAAAGCAATGAATAATATAGTTGCCTTAGATTAAATTTTCAGAAACTTGGTTGCTCCGTAGTAATCTACCTGATGTGTTTTTCTTGCAGTAGAACAAATTACTTGCAAGATGTTAAAGCAGTTAGTGTAAAATTCTTTTGAAAACCTTTTTGTTAATTGCAGGAAAAAGTCCTCAAGGATATGGATCAAAATTCAAATGTGAAATCAGATAGTGAAAACAGTGAGGAAGAAGAGATATTACAGATTCAAAGACAAAAGCAGAAAGCTTTCTTGGACAAAGAAAAGGTAATAGATGTTTACTTATAAGATTAACTAATCCTGTAACATTATTTGGTGAAATGAAAGATTCTAATACAATTTGACCTTATATGTTCTAGATGGCTTAAACATACACATCCATCATTAGAGGTGAAATTTTCAAAATATACTTCAAGAACAAGTTGCATCAAAAACTTTTTGTGGTAATCCAATTTCATAATTTTAGTACAAGTTGGCGACATAAAATTTTAGTTATTTAATTATTTAAGAAATGACAAATGTTATAATTTTATGGTTAAACAAGACAGTGTGTTAGTACTAAAATATGTATAAAGGTTTAGTAATGGCTACATAAAACTCAAACTGTGTCAGAACTAAAACAAATGTACAAATATCTTTATGGCTACATAAAACAAACAGTGTGTCAGCATTAAAGCATGGGTACAAAGTATTGTTAAAGCTACATAAAAAAATGTCACTACTGAAGTAAGTGTACAAAGTACATAAAACATTGTGTCAGTACTAAAATGTTTATAAAACATTGGTATGGCTGCATAGAATAGTGTATAAGTACTAAACATGTACAAAGGTGTAGCTCAAGTCACATGATTGCCTTTTGAGGAATAGTTTGTTTTCTTAAAGATTATTGTCTTTGAAAGGAAGTTAGCATGAAGCTGTCATAAAAATATTGTTAATTTAGAATTCAACACAAAAATAACATAATGAAGAGAATGCTTTGTTACAATAACACTGAAATTCTAGTAATTGTGATTTATTAGAAATCTCATTAAAGAAATTTCTTTATTTAAATATCTACAAATGTGTGATAAATTATTAGGTATTTGATATTATAAAATATAATTGAATAAACAAAACTCAGTTTTTACTACCATCAATATTTTGTCAACTTCTAACATTTACTTATTGTTATTCATGAAAAAAATCCTAAAATTGTTATTTCTGCAAAGTATTGAGGAGCTTTGCGCGTACAGCATACTTTCAGCTTTTAAAATTTTTCTGACCATCCCAAAGAATAACTTTATTTTTACTAAGGACCTACCACCCCTTGAAAGTATACTCTCCTGCACCTAGAAGCCTAAATCTGTACTTTAAACTCTCCTAGCAAGTACATAAAAGAAAAATCATAAGGTTTAGTAACAGAATGACAGAACAGAACTGTGCTAAAAATGATGTACTTGATTCCGAATATGAAGGCAAATTTCTTCCATAGGGCTGCAGACATAGCGAAGTCATACATAGTATGACATACAGTTTCAATACAGGGGCAGAATGGGAAGTTATTTACTGTTGTAATTTTAGATTCATTTAATCTAGGTCTTACTGGGACAATTTTCCAGGCTAAGTTATGTCAGGATGCTTCAAAGTGTCTGGAGTTTACCCTGTCCCATACAGTCTATGGTTAGGTAATTTTAGTGTACTTTTAGGTGGAATTATGTAAGCATTAGGTTATAGAGTTCAATTGTTTTCATTTGACCTAAACATTTATTTTTTAAGGCTGGTATCAGATGTTTTGGATGAAACTTAGGTAGTTTGGTGCGGTTACTGTATTTAATGGTTTAACTGTGCTGTTGAATATTCTGTTATAGTGTCCTAATAGGTAAGTTATAAAGTGTACTTCTGGGTGATCTGACTGGAGGAGTGTGCATATAAACTGTGTCCAGGTAGCTGTTAGTTGATTTTTTGGGTGGTAGGTTAATGACTTCTCTTTTAATGAGTTTGGGTTTATTTGACCAGATATATTTGTACAATTTTTTGTTTATTTCTTTTATTGTAGCGGCTGGCAATGGATAAACTTGACCTACATACACTAACTTAGCTAGGTCTATCTGTTTGATTGCTTGAATTTTAGTGAGTAGGGAGATTTCTTTCCCTTGCTATTTGTCTATTGTTTCATATATTTTCTGAGTTAAAAGGTTTCAGTTATGTTCTGGGGGGGTTTTTGTGCGTTGTAATAATTACCAAGTATCTTAACTGGGTTTTGGATACATCTTAGACTGAACAAGTCTTTTTGTATATTACAATTTTTGCTGAGCCAAAAGGTGTAGGACTTATTCCAATTTACTTTTGTTCCTGTAGCTGCACTGTATTTGTTTACTATGTTCCAACTATGTTTAATAGACTTCTAGAGTAACATTGTGTGTGTGAACAGGAAATTTTTACTCTAATACTGAGTTTTGAGAGATGGAGATACCCTTGATGTTCTGGCATTGATTTATAGAAGTGAATGAAGTATCAGTTACTAGGACAAAAAAGACCGGGTACAGAGGACACTCCTGTCTTACCCCAGAGCTGACAGGAACTACTCTGGATAGGTGACCAATGACATTCACTATTGTATTTATGTTTGTGTATATTGTTTTTATCCAGTTAACTATGTGCTCTGAACAAACAGAAGAAAGTCTTGATTGGCCTGGTCAAACGCTTTCTCTTGGTGAATCATTATAACACAGTCTTGGGTTTTATTACTAATGTATATTATATCTGATGAAGCTAGTGTTGTTGTGTATGTTTTGGTTAGGGATACTACATGTTTGTGTGTCAATTACTGTGTTTTCTATGACTTTTTTTTATTCTATTACTCATGTATTTTGTAAGTATTTTATAGCGTGTTATAGTTATTGATATTTGTTCTTTTTTATTGTGTAGGATGATTATACCAGGTTTAAATGAGGGTGATAGTTCATTCTCAATTAAGCACTGGTTGAGCATTAGAGTGAACTTGTCTCCTATTATTTACAGTATGTTATGTAAAATTTGGCCAAGAGGCTGTCTGGGCCTGATGATTTGTTATTTTTCGTTGAGGTGATTGCCTCCCAACATTCTTGAGTTGAGAGTGCTCCTGTTAAGGTTGAACTGAGATTTGTATCTAGTTTACTTATGAGTTGTGTTATTGAGTGCCATTTTTGGTCCTAACTGTTTTTGGGGGATAAAGGTTTTCGTAAAGGTCTGCAGCTAAATTTAACATGTTTTGTTTGTCGCTTTGTTCTGTACTATTTTGGTCTGCTATACTATTGATGTTTGTACAAGGCTCCTGAAAATGTTTCTTCACTGTTGAGTGTACCTGCTAGTTTGAATTTTAAGGCATTTGTTTTTTTGGCTATAGAGTTCATTTAGTTTAGCTTCTATTATCTGTATGGATTCCATGAATTTTGGATGGTTTACTGTTGTTCTTGTAAGAGGAATTAGGGATCTATCAAAGAAATTTATTTCTTTATTTTTTCCTTGATCTTTACCTATTTGTTTACTGAGGGTTTTTGATTTTGATTTTAGGTGTTCCTGGATTAGGGTTTTCAGTGTTACATAGGGAGACTTAACAGTTTATTTATTTGGTCTGTGGTTACAGTGTTTTCAAGAAGAGAGACATTGAGATTCCAATGTCCCTTCCCTCGATCTATTTTATTTGGGTGTGTTAATTCTAAACATACAATATGGTGGTCACTGACATAATGGTCTTTAATATCAGTTGGGTTTACCCAGATTTTTATCACTGGTGAAATAGAGCCTGTCAAGCCTGACCCCCACCCTGCTATTACTCCAATAAGCCATCCCAGGGTCAAACCCTTGAATGTCGCACCAGACATCAACTAAATAGAAATTATCAATCACTCATTTAAGCCATCCTACTATTTCATCCGTATTTAAATTTCTGTTTATTTTATCTAGTAAAGGGTCTAGAACACAATTAAAATCTCCATCCATGATAATATGATAGGTGCAGAAAAGATAGTCTTCTAAGACCCTAAAAAACTGTCTTCTGGGTCTCTATTTGTAGGGGTGTAAATATTGATAAACCTGATTATTCTGTTGCATGGGATGGGGGAACTTTTAAAGACAGCCTGTATGTTTGTAAATTTTCCTCTTGTGACATCTGTGTATTCTCTTTGTTTGTTAGGTTTGGTCTATGGTGTGGTCATTTAGCAAGTTGCTTGAAGTTTTCAAGATAACCTGTATGTTAAATGTTTGTACATATGTCATAAGGTAATATTGTTTTTTTCTACTACCTTTATGTATTCTGATGGTATCACCAGTTAATAGTGGGACATCTAGTGTTTCTTTTGTTGGAATACTTTATCATGTGAGATATGTACATTATACTTTTTGTCTCTAGAGCTAAGTGTTTTGAGTACTACATTGTAATATGTATTTGATTTGTCTTGCAGGGAAATGAATATTTTAAAGAAGGCAAGTATGATGAAGCAATTGCTTGTTACACTTTAGGAATTCAGAGTGATCCATATAATGCTGTACTGCTAGCAAACCGTGCTATGGCCTTCCTGAAAAAAGGACAGTAAGTTATAACTAAATGTTGACCAAACCTACAGAAATATCACCTACAACAATCTGGAGTGAAGGAAATAAAAAATTTCAAAAAATATACTCATACTTCTACTTTTTTTTAATAATAATACTAATACCATTCAAATACAGTATAATTATTCTTTTTATTATCTTAAAAGTTTTCTATACTTAATCAAAAATTATCTTACAGGTATCTTAAATTTACTTATTATTTTCACCTTTTATCATTAAAAGTAAATTATGAACTATCTTTGGTGATAAGTAGCAAAAATGTTTATGCATAATCTCCTTTTTAATTATTGGAATTTTAAATTTTAATTCTTGTATTCTATTAGGTTAAACATCTACCATTAAATTCCAGATGTTAATGTTCATTTTAAGTGATAAGCTTACCTAGTGTATTTTAGCAGAATTTTGCAAACGTTTTCTGAATATGAAAAAAAAATGCATAAAATTGGAACATAGGGAGGTTTTTTTATTCTTTATAATAAAAACATGATCTGATGATATTAAGGGGTCAAAAAAGAGTTAATGTACATGAAAAACATCAAAACTACATGTGTATTTGACTCATTTGTTAACATACATTTTTCCAGAGTATTACAAATTACACAAGGTTGTTTTTTCTACTTTAAATCATTACTCTAAACCAAGTATAGAGACCTTTGGTTGGAAATTATTTTTTCATCATGTGAAAAAATGTTCAGTTATTGTACATTTTGAAGTATAAAGGAAATTGTGATGTAGAGTTTTGTAAAGAAATGCAAATATTAAGTTATCTTTAAAAACGGTTATTAGAGATACATCTATAAAGGTAAACAGCTTGTTAGGTAACTATATTATAGTGCATTACTGGTTT